ATACACAGCTCAAAGACATCTGAAAGTCATCTTAAAATGCTTTATTTCAAAACAGAGGATCTTATCCTATGAGTGAATGCATCCAAGATGTTTCAGAAGTGTAAGCACATTCTATAGTGCTCACTCAGCTAACGCCATCTTCAAGGGAAGCTTTGACCGAGCCACTACCTGAGAACCCTCCCATTAAAACAGCAACACAGCATCTACAAGCCTGCATACCCCTTGGTTTCTTTCTTCTGAGCTTTATAGAAGAAAAAAATTCCAATTGCCCCTAACTCTTTTTTTTTTTTTTTTTTTTTGCAAGTGGCTATAAGTTAGATTTATGAAGACAAAAAGACTTCTTACAACTGTATATTTTGAACAGATTTATGACAGGGCTACAGTATCAGCATGGAGGGTCCACAAGTCAGGAATGCAGTAAGGGTAACAGGAGAGTGTCATATAGATGCTAAAGAGTACAATTCTTTCCACATTCATAAATCCTAAGTGCCTAAGGTTGTATACTGCTGGTTATAAATTATGTAACCGAGTTCTGCAGGGGAGTGCGGGGAAACTTAAAGTGAGAAATCATCTCCGTAAGAACTTATACATTTAATATTAAAGAACCTAAGATTCAAATTACTTCACTAAAACAGTGTTATTTCCTATTTTAAATCTTTTTGATTGGCAAATAAATAAACCAGATCTCTATGGCGAGTGAAACAACAAAACACGTAGGCCTGCTAATCAGACCTCAGAAAAAGAGAAAAGTTCACCCATTAGTTTACAAGCACCAGCTCATCAGGAGTTGATAACCTCAAAGAGCTAGCTTAAAAAATGTTCAGTAGCAGAAAAACATATTTTACTGGGTATTCTAATCTGGTTTGAGCTTTACAGCTGAGGTTAAGGTACCTAGCAAGCTTTATGATTTTATTACACCTGAGGTATAATAAAAAAACTGAGTATCAAACTGAATATACTTAATCAAAACACTTCTAAAGCTATTTTTATGTAAATATGCACACACTTAAACCCCTCAGTAGTAATGTTCAGCATTTCTAGCAATTCTCTAACAACACTCTTGGTTGTTTACAATCTTTTGGGCTAAAGAATGAGGCTCAAAACTTTCTTGCTATTAGTCATTGTGTTGCTAATCTGATCCCACTCTAACGAAAGCAAAACCAAAGACTATCAGGGACTTCAGCAGGTCCTAAAGCTGTGTATAAAAGCTAAATGGAAGCCTGGAACGGGTTAGCTCGTGAGAAGCAGGTAATTATTTCACACTAGCTCTGCCAGTGAACACTCTCACTCTGCAATTGCACTGCATTTGCACAGTTTGAATTAATCCACTTTGGATGCTCAGAAGGCCAATTAACAGAATCTCAGCTGGTGGAAGCCCTTTTAGCTTTGCTTGAGCTAAATTAGCTCATACGGCTGAGGATCCAGCCCCGTCTTGTCCACCTACTTCCAGCAGAGGTGAGATCAGACAGTGGCTGTGCCGCCATCTACCGTAGGCTTTGCATAGCACTGCGTGGTCCAAAGCCCGCAGGAATCGCTCCAGCAACCCTTCCCACTAATACCCAGGCTCAGCAAGGCAGACTCCGCTCCCTAAACACGTACCTAAATAATAGCCTGATCCTGCAACCCTTGCTCAGGCAGAACTCCCTCCACAGGCCGCAGGCTAGCTGCTGCTGTCTAATTAGACATCATATACCATGTTACCATTCTTCAGCTACTAAGGTCTGTCCTGTAAATGTGAAGCCTGTGTACTTCACAGCACTATTAACAGTTGACTTAAATAGTCGGTTGAAAATAGTATACACTCGAAAATTCATTCAAGTTTTCCTGAAACAGCTTATCATATACCATATAGCTCAATGCATGCCATCCATTAAACCCAAAGAGTTTCACTATCTTCAAGAAAGCTTTCTGGGTGCAAGTCAAGTCAGAATCTGCACATGTACAGTCCTCTGTCCATTTTAATATATGGCTTAAGCTTCTCTTGGTCATTTGAGATCTCAAGTTATAGTGAAAGCTTTTGCAATTGCTCTTTGGAGGCTTTTTGGTTTTGTTTTTCCCCCGACAAGTACTCAAGTCACCAGAAAGCAGCATAGCTCTCCTTATTCACGCATGCAAACGGCTCTATCACGAACAGAAGCAAGAGACTTCACAGCTGTGGTGCTGCGGGACAAGCCGGTAGTTGCATTTTGAGGACAAACTTTCAGGTGTAAGGAACAATAAAACAAAACCCAAAAGGCGTCCTACTTCTATCTAGTGACAGACACCCTCCAGCTATACCAAATCCTGCAAGTTCCCCCAGCCTCCTGACAGAGCAGCCAGAAAGCACCTCTGACATCTGCCAGAGTGAACTTTAATTTAGCACACTATATACAATATTTATAGAGCAAATCTATGAATGCTGCTTGAGCCATTTAAAGGCTGGAGACTAAATTATGTTTCCTGAATGTTTATTCTGACTTTCTCCAACTGTTCTTCTTACTTGACAGTGCTTAACTGGCAGCCAGCCATGAAAGCTGTTGCCTAATTACACAACATATCATGATCTTACAGCCCCACAGATAAGACTTCGCTGCAGCATAAATGGATTTTAAACACTGGCATGTAAGAAAAAAGAAAATTAGCCTGCAAATTAGAATATTTAGAAGTCTTGTGTGTGAATAGCCACTATTATTTGTTTAGGAAAGCATGGTTTGGAAAGAGGAACTTACATTAGAGATTAAATAACCTTTAATGTTAAACAGGCTACAATGGAGTGGGCTGGCTGACTAACCCTTTATGCATGGCAGAAATCTGTTCACATGTAATTACATAGACTATCTTAAAGATACTGTATATTTGCATGGAATCAGTACAGCTGGGGATTACAGGCAGCATTATGGTGGCACAGCTACATGTGAGGTTATGGAAAGCATAGATTTTGTGAATCCCTTGCAACATTTTGCTGCAGACACCCTTGAAATACAGGCACAGTAAATATATTATTAAATGACCTCAGGAGATGTACTTTTACAGAAAGCCCAATTTCACACCGCACATTATAAAGATCATTAAAGAAGAACAAACAACTGTTTGACTTATCTTCTGATAACAAGACCCTAATTGTTTTGTATTTAAAGATGTTGTACGATAGGTCTGACTTTGTGATGTAAGTGCAGTTAGCAAGTTGTAAGTTTCAAGATGACGGGAGTCCTTTCTTCACTGCACATAAACTTGAGGGATAGGATACAACTCTGTACAATAAAGGCATTGTTTTGCTTTTATATGAAACAAATTACATTCTCCTCTCTTTCAGTGGATACTCTGCAGATGTGACAATAACCATGACATCACCAAGAATGCCAATTCTCTTTCTGTTGCACTGACTGGAACACTAGGAAAAAAGAATCACACCCTGTAGTTGCAGGGGGTTGTTCTTGCATGTAGACTGAAAAGAGCAGAAAGTTGTATATGTGCATTGCAGTCCATTCTACCTCTTCTTGGCATGATCTTGCAGAAGCTCATGGGTGTGTGCAACTCTACTCACTGAACTGGTCTGCTAGCTAAGCGGGACTGCTTAGATGAGTAGTTACTTCTCCGAGTGCACTGCTGTGAGACTGGGCCCCTTATAGCCTTTTTGGCAGCAACATTCAACACAGAATGGCTGGTGTTCTCAGAGATGCACTCAAAGCTTTCAGAATCCCGTTTTAGGGGAATGATGCTGTCCTCCTCGACAAATAAAAGTAATCCAAGAAATACAGTGATAGGACCTCAAATTCATCAGACTGACGCCTTCATCGTAGTTATGTTTTTCCAGAATTTGTCTTTTTATGAAATACAGAAAGGGCAGTGGTAAGATTCAGCTGCCTTGACATCTAAAACTTTTACAAACATTAAGTGCATGACAAAGTATGAAGTTGCAAGGTGGAGCAAGTGAAGTAGTGACATTTGATACAGCATCCCTCTCCTCCCTGTTCGTATTATGGGCATTTAATAGGAATACAGCTCAAGTAACAGCAACATCTACCATACAGCACGGCAACCTGCTGAAGAACTCCATGCATTACACATTAGATAAGGAGGGATCTACTTAAATTAAAACAACTCGAAGTGACTTAACACAATCCCCTAGTTTATCTGGATTTATGTAAAACAGCCCAAGAACAAAACGTGGTTCTCCACCAGTGAGGCAAGTCAGAGAGTTTCCTCCAACACTTGCATAATGGAGTGTACTTTCTCAGCATGCTACTATGGTGGGACGCAGTCACTTAAGAGTTACAATGCAATATACTGTGATTTACTACAGTTACTTCAGTGTGAGATTGCACAGGCAGGAAAACCGAATAAAGGTTATGTTTCCAGCACCGACAGCCAAGAATACATTACCAGAAGCAGGCTATTATTAAAACCCTAATTAGTACTACAGAAAAGCTTGAAACTTCAGCCGCGGAAGACGGCCATACGACTTTTACTTTGAAATAATTTCTAAAAAAAAAAAAAAAGAAAAGAAAAGCAAAGAAAGAAATGAAAATGCAGCGCGTGGGGGGTCTGCGCGAGCCGGCCCCAGATGTGCACAATGGAGCGGGCAGCGGTGCCGCGGCGCGGCAGCG